ACGATATGGGGTACATGTCAGGACATGCATTAAGTCTCGGTTAGGGGTCTTCTTTATACACTATCTGACTAAAATCTTCACCCCACACCTACAGGAAAGGCTGGCCTCTCAACAAAATTAAATTTTGGGTCGATGTTTTTGAAAGAGCCGAAGTTATGGTAATACAAAAGTTCACTTCCGGAAATAGTCATCACAAAACACTAAGGTGACGGTATGCCGTACATAGGCTCTAGATCTAATAATAATATAGGTATCTAGAGATTCTAGATCTAGAATCTATATCTAGATTATATTTTGCTACATTTTATAATGATACGCAACTCGTATATTGTACACACATTATTTGTGCTTTCTACTTACAGTTTCATTTCCCCCTGGTCTACGATCTTCCATGTAGTTCATTAGAATCTATTGAAGCTTAAACAACAGTGGACGAGCACAAGGCCACCACGGCCAAAATAAATAGCGTCTTCTCTTTCAGGCTCTCAGGTTCAATTATTAGATTTATGAATTATGAGTTCACTCCCCTTGAGCCTCGTGGTTGCCACTTGCCAGATTGGGAGAGGCATTCGGCCAAATCGGCGACAAAAAAGTCGGCCAAACATTTTAAAACCATCGGAACCCGGGCGATCGTTAGTAGGGCGTGTACGTGCGTGCACTCACTCGCACATACATACTTCTTCCACTATAAACGACAATCAATAAAAGCGAAATATGCACACACACACACAAAAACGAACAGGGGAGCATGACAGGGTGAGAGAGCGATTATGACGTATACGGTATATAACAGATGACATGAATTTATTATGTACATCATCATGCGCTTTTCTCCTCGCGTGTCCTTGTTTGTTGAGTGAAGGATATACGTCTGTCCCTGGCCTCTGTCCAGCTTTGCCCGGTCTCTTTTTGTTTTAGTAAGGTTTTACGGCGCTCGCAACTACATAAGGTCATAATATGAGCGCCAAGGGGTGGGTGTCAACAGAGAAGTCCTTACAGGGAATCAGACTTACTCTGCACAAAGTCTGCTTCGACTATCAAGGCACCCCGGAAATACCGGTTCACAAGAGTGTAACAAACATAAAAGAAGTAGAGGGAAAATGACGATAGGAAGGATTAGGAAAGAAAAGCAGCAGTTCCCCGTTGCAGTTCAGACACAGTTATGAGCATGACATTGGTGAATCAGCCCATTTACAATTCTACTGAGTGCATAAGAACATGTTAATCCCCCCC